GTATGGAGATACCTCAAAGAACTAGGACTAGAGGTCCCATTTGACCCAGCTATTCCCCTACTGGGAATCTTCCCAAAAGAATTAAAAGAATCATACCACAGCAGTATATGTACACCTATGTTAACGCAGGACAGTTTGTAATAGCTAAAGCTTGGAAACATACCAAGTGCCCATCAACAGGAAACTGGATAAAGAAGATGTGGGGTTTTTTTTTTATAAAATGGAGTACTAGTCAGCCATAAAGAATGAGAAACTAGAGACTTTTATAGCTAAATGGATGCATATTGAGGCCATACTCTTAAGTGAAATAAATAGGACACTCATGTGTAAATACCAGATAGTTTCTCTAGTGTGAGAAACTGAAAGTGTACATAAGGATTAAAATAATTAAAATGAATAATTGATAATTTGAAATAGGAAAAGGTCCAAAGGTGTAGGGCTAGTGGGAGGGGAAGGGGAAAGGGAAGAAGGGAAAGGAAAAATTATGAGAAAAGAAAAAAAAAGGAAACAAAATCTATGTAAATAGGGAAGGGTGGAAGGGGTGAAGGAAGCACAGGTACTGGGGGAAAAAATAAGAACCTAGATACATCATGTCCAAGTACAAGCACCTAATGATAAATGTAAATGTACTGTATTCCTAAAATGTACTGATAAAAGAATTTAAAAAATAAAATAAAATGTAGAATCATTTAGAACAATGCCTAGGCATGAAAGATACTCAAATGCTAATAAGTTTTATTGTAATTACTACTTAGAGGGCTTCTCAGCTTTGCGGGGGTGAAGAGGGGTATGGATAGTAGTAGAGCCCAAAAGTAGCTCATAGTTGTGGGACCTCTTATTGTTGCCAGAGATGGCCCCACAATGAAGAGAAGAAGCACTCATGACTGTCACTAGATCAAAATGTGCATGTGTGTGAACAAAAGCAGCCTTTTTTCAAGACATCTGCTAGAACATTGTTGTAATAAACGTATAAATCTGTGGTTAGTGCAGAAATGAATGTTGTTCCCTAGAGCTATATAGTGCTTTACCTATAAAACTGTACATGGTCACCTTGAGTTTCAGCCACAAGATGCCTCCATTCTTGTTTCAGTCTCCATTGGCTGCCATCTTGTATTTTACAGGTCTTTGTGGACCCTTTAAAATTATTTCTGTAGTGAGGCAGGGTACACAGGTAAACATGTTGTATTGATATGAGGAAGGAGTTTGAAATTCAGAATACACTGAAAGGAAAACAACCAGACTGAAGGGAAGACCGAGTGGTGGGAGTCTGCTCCTTCCCTATGGCAGCTCCTGTGGTAGCATGAATAAGTGCCTCCACATTGGGAGGTACTGGTCCCAAATTTGGATCCAAAACCTTGCAAGTGTCAATCAAAAGTGAATTAGCTCCTTCCTTGCATGGTTAATATGTGACACTCATTACCCCTGGAAGTTGATGTGGGTTGAAAATATAAACACGTTGAAGAAAGATTTATTGGAAGCTCCTTGGGCAAACAGATTGAGCATGGAGGGTTTCAGCTCCAACCCTGAGTCAAAGAATCTGAGCGCATATGACTGGACACTGGCTAGGGAGCAGGAAGCATGTCATGGTGTCCCAGCAGGGCTGTGTCCTGGGACCACTGGAGAGAGCAGACTAGGACCTCGTCGTGCAATCCTGAGGCCAGTTGTGAGCAGTGGGATTGAGTGGCTTTAAGAACCTGCTCAGCTGGCCAGGAGGGAGGGGCCGTGGCAAAGATCAGGGCAAAGCACAGGTATTGGAGGACCAGGTAATTTTGGAATAGATATTGGGCTATTTTTCCACAGTAACTTTTTAGCCCAGTCCTTGAGATTAGGGTAGGGCCAAGCTGGTAAATGATACCCATGGGGTCCCCACTGTGGGGGGTGGCAAATGGGGCTAGCAAGAGCCTGTGGGGAGCTTTGTTCCTGTGCCATCTGCCTCAGTCCACTTCCTCCTGGCCTCTCTCCCTCTGCTGCCCCCTCAGCTTAACGGTCGTAGCTTTGGTCTAACCCCTTCTCTTTCGGATCATTCCAGACTCTACCTCAGTTCATCTTAGCATAGAACTCACAAGAGAGAGGCGAAGTCCTTGGCTTGGCAGTGGGAGTACTTGGAGTGCTCCACAACAGAGAAGGAGAGAGAAGTGGGGCATTTCTGAGGGATGTCGATCAGTAGTACTAGCATTCCTGGGGCATCATCCCACCCTGCTCCCGATTTTCGTTCTCGATTAATGATCGATGGGACTAATTATCCCAATTTCTTTCTCTCCTAATTCTCCTGGCCTCTTGATCAATAGTCTTTATCTCCTGTGCACATGCACACACACTGGAACTCAACAGTTTCTATCCATTGTCTGCAGTCTTTGAAATCAATCTCAGTTTCCATGAACTCCATATTATTTGTATGGTCTCTGTCTACTCTGAAATCAGAGGTTTTAACTTCTCTTGATGCCTATAAAGTTTACACTTTGTTCCTGTTTGTTCACTAATGTATCGAGAGGCTGCGTTTTGCAGGACCTGAAGGGCCTGACATAATAAAGTCTTCCACAGATCATGGGGATCATGATCTATACAGCTAAATAAGGTTCCCCATTTGCATCTACTTGCTCCTCAGGTGAGAACTTTAGTTATCCAACAAGTACTTTTTGTTTGAAAACAACTTCTTCTTTGTCATCATCATCTTCATCATCCTTTTCTTCTTTTCTTCCTCCTTTTTCTTCTTCATTTTTCATTTTTAAAGCCAGGGTCTTCACATGGCCTTACATCCCCAGCCCTTTCTTGCTTTTTAAAATTATGAGATGGGGTCTTGCTAAGTTGCTAAGATGCTCAGGCTGCTCTCTTCCTGCCTCAGCCTCCCAGAGTGCCCGGATTATAGGTATGCACCACCATGCCTGGATTGTAAACTTCTATTTCCAAATGCTTTGAATCTTTTAAACTTCTGCACCTTGTGAAATCAGTGAGTTTCTAAAGAGTGTATCTTTTCAACAAATCCTGGGCTTAAGCCTGGATGAAATAGTTATCACAGAATTGGCTGGAAAGAGAAAATCTTGATGGAATACTAAAGACTTTCCATTCTGCAAGATGATGACATACTTTTGGATCCAGATTCTGTCTCTGGAAAGGCAAGGGACTGTAGATGATTCTTTTCAAAGCTGGTTCAACATTGATACAAAGGGACAAATTCATTAGCCACATTGATTTGATTTTCCTGCAAATCCACTGGATAGAAAGTTCCCACTTTTACCCACCTTCATTGTTACCTTCAGAGCAGCTCTCCATAGCAACCGCAAACGTCTCTGCGTTGGAATAATCCCCTCTAGCTCCCAGCGCACAGTCAAGGAATTTTAAAAGCAGAGGACTTTGAAACCACAAAGTACTCTCTGAGATGTGGAAGGCCCCAGAGCTCCAGATAAATAATCATTTATCTTTCTTAAGGTAAGTCCTGGGTTTAGAAATGTTTTGACCTCTGTTACTTTTTAAATGCTAATGTAAGAATCTTAAACTTCACTTCTATTTTTCCCTCTCACTCTCTTTTTTAGCCATACATGTAATCCCAGCATCTCCGTTACTGTCTTTAGCTGTTCTCTGGGCCAGGATCTGACCTAGGATGGTGTTAACATTTTGTGTTCCTTAAACAATCAGCTGAAAAGCTTTGATTTTTTCTCTGTAAACTGACTGGTTCAATAGTTATCTCCGACCCTTCTTAGTGACCATTGACTGAAAACATTTACTGAGGCTCATGCGATCTTGAAATCTTGTTTTTCTAAGATACTTCGTTCTCCAGGATCTTGATTATTAGTAAAGAAAGCAGAAAGATCCACTTTTTCTGAATGTTACCATTTTCTTCCAGTATAAGATTTCCTTGTCCAAAGCATTTTTACTTAGCTTATTTTATTTTACTTATTGGCAATTTATTCACATTTCTTTTCTCTTTACTTTTATTTGCTTAATTTAATGATGAGGAACACAAATCTAGTGGAGTTCTTTCCCATGGGATAGAATAAAACTGTTCTCATCCTGTGTCCTGTTTTTGTGCCACCTGTAGAAAAAGGGAGACACTCTTTCTGATGTTTGTCTCTGGTTAATTCAACAGAGACAATCTAACAGGTGTCTTAACTGTCCTGCAATTTGAAGGTCTATAGCCATGCCAGTTTCCTGCCTGCTGTTTGGGGTTATAAATTACCTACAGACCCCCTGTTGTTAAGGAACAGCTTGTCTTTGCAAATCGGCTTAGCCACCCAATTAATGAGTCCTTTCAAACATGCTTTAGGCGCAATAATTGAAGCCTTTATTTTTTTCCCCTTTACCACAGAAATTCCTCTGCTTACCAGTTTATCCCACTAACTCATCCCTATCCGAGACAGACTCAAGGTGAAGGAAGAGTGGAGATGTCCCTCTGGACAAAGCTTTTGGTATATGGGGTGCCTTTGTTCCTTCTAGTCAGCTTTGTCCCCTGTACGGCCACAGACACACCTTCAAGCCAGGACAGCCTCGGCACCGAGAAGCAAGGCCAACTGGCAGAAATACTACGGATTCTCAGTGCTGATGACCACCCACCCCTCAACCACTCCAGGAGTCTCATCGCAACATTGTTGGAGAAGACTGGGTGCCCACGGACACACGGACTGCAAGGAGGTTGTCACCTGGTTAGTGACACAGAATAGGATCAGGTATCAGGGCATGTGCAAAAGAGAGCAATGGATTCTGGGACCACTTCAGGAAAAGTAAAATTTCCAAAACCTAAGTGAGCAAAGCATTGTGGTAAAATAACTTCTGTATTTGGGATCCAGCAAACCTTTCCGCATTTTGCAGATAGTGCTTAAGGATGGGAGCATTTTATTTTTCCAGCTTAAATGCCCTAGAAACTTAGTGCATGTTTAGAGGTATAGTATCTATTTGCAAGCATTAACTTTTGCTTGTTTCCTTGCTTGCTCCCCTCCCTTTCCTGTACCAAATGTGCACATGATTGGTTAGGTGCTATTTTCTGTAGCATAATCATAGCAATCTGATATTTGTCTCATGTACAGGTTTTGGGATTTTCTCCTAGATATCAACTGGTGTTTTTTAATGTTTTTGCATGGTATATGGTTAAAGATTGAATAATCATCTTCTTAATGATGAGGAATCTTAGCTGGGAGAGAGCCGTTGTGTAGGTAGAGGTGAAATTGGACCGATGGCTCTCTGAAGTCCACTCCACAGCCTGCTCCTGTGAGCTGGGCAGGTTTCACAGAAGCCCTGTATTAGGGCTTCATCCTCTCACACTGAGTCTTGGCTTGTCTGGGATGGAATTTTTAAGTCTCTCTGGGTCACTTTAGTATAAAGTGAGGACTTAGAATCCACGCTTCAGGGTAGTTGGTGGCATGGTAGGAGGTTTAAATAAAAGCAGCAAATGAAGGAAAACCCTGTGTCATAAAAGAACTCAAAATTCAACCAAATCGCTCTGCGCCACCAATTTCTGACTGATGAGTTGCTTTTTTTAGGTAGAACCTACAAAAACACAGACACATAAAAACATAAGTCAATCGGAAGCAAGTTAACTGCTTCCTAAATAAATTTTGGCAGATTTTCTCAATCATGCATCGTTCAAGGTATAGGGTTGGGAGCACATTGCTGGTCCAAGTGTTGTTTTTTAAAATATTTATTTATTTGGTGACAGAAGTGGTCTTGCTCATAGACAGAATTTTTCTCTGCTCTGTGTGAACCACAGATAATTCGATAATTATTAAAATGCCCAATGGGTCCCAGAAGAAACATAATAGGCAACGCGTCTGTGATGACATTAATGTATCTAGATAGCAACAGAAGACATCCTGCTGGAAATAACCAGGTGTCATATCTTATTAGTGTCCTCTGAGAATTTGCCTCAGGGCAATGTTCTGCTTTAATGACATGAAGTGCCTTATTAAGGCTGGTTGAGTATTAGTTCTGCTAGGGGGAATGTAAACAGGCAAAATTGTTCTCCATATTTGGAGCTGGGAGAAAGAGATTGTTTTGCATTTATTGTTTTTCTGTGACATTATGAAGGGCTTGGCCAATCTGGCTTCCATTTGTATTTCCTTTCCCAGGCCTTGAAACAGTCAGTGTAATAGCTTCACCCTCTTCCTGCTGCCCTTTTTCTCTGAAAGAAGCTGAGGTGAACCGAAGGTGAATCTCAGCCTCACCTGCTCAAGGGCTGTGAGTCACCTGAATCCCCCATCAGCGAGGAACCTAGTCATCCATGAGAGGCCAAAGGAAACAGATTCCTCCCAATTTCACAAGCACCCAAGTTCTGGCCCAAACCACAGGGCTTCAGGTTGTTATTGAGTCTCTACTGTCTTTTAGGGACCTTGCTAACAGGTGTGGTTCATGATAGAAATTCTGTGGTAAAAAGAGAGGGAAAAGAAGTGATTTCACATTTCTAAAAGAAAAAAATGGTGAAGTCGCATCTTGAATTTGTGAAGTCGCATCTTGAATTTGTGAAGAGGGGGAAAAAAAAATCTCCCAATTTTAGATGTAGGTAAAAAAATGGAATTTGAAAAAAATCAATCTGAGAACATTGAGCATTTAAAAATAAATCCATTCAAGCTTCACTCTTTGAAAATGGTATTTCTTGGATGATATTGACTTCTCTTTATTGAAAAGAGTTAGAGTTTTCATGGAATTAACGAGGGAGGAAGTAACTCCAAAAGAATAAACACAAGTAAAGATGAGAATCATGGTCCTACACAGGTTCCTGAAGGGAAAAGTGCCCTGTTCTGGAACCTTCTAGCTGTTAAAATATGCTGAACCCTTGCTTCCACATCTGTGAATGTCATGGGATGGGGTCCAAGGAGGTCCTCAAAGAGGAGATGGAAAATTCAACTTGGCCCTCCAACTAGGTTCCTGATTCACTTCATGGGAAAAGAATTTCAAGACACATCATTGCAAGGCATAGGCAAGTTTATTAGGCAGAGTTAGAAGAGAAAATAGGAAGAGGACCGGCTTGAGCACCTGGAGGGGCGCACTTTGATGAAGAGCTTCAGAATGGGCCTGCTCACAAAAGCACATCTCATAAAGTGCATAAGGATTAGCTAGTGGGGCAGGGTTCAGTTGATCTTTATCTCAGCCTGCTTTCTACCTCTGGAGGAACCCTTATGGCTTGAGAGACCATTTGGTTCCCAAGAGATGATTGTCCTTGCTTGGGAGAGGGCTGCCTTAGTTCCTGTCATGGGGTAATTGCTCTTGGGTGGGGAGATGGTCTCATCCCAGGGAGGCTCTGCTTTCCCTGGAACCTGAGGTGCTTGTAGGTTTGGAGACTTCGGGGCATCACTCCAGGGAGGTCTAGAACTGGACATTGCATAAGCTGGCAATTGTGTGTCCCTGCAAACCTTGAGCATTCTTCTAGCTACTCTTGGTCTTGAAGGAGGTGAGATAGGCCAGGAAAATGTAGGGCATATATAAACATTGTTTTGCCAACTTTTCTTAAATGATTATTGTTCCTATATGCAGAGCTGAACAGGGATCTGGCCCAGAGTTTTAAGTTAATAAGGAAGATGAGAATTTGAATTTCCTTGTTACCTTTTTACCTAGCTTTATTTCTTTTATCCTTCCTCACTAGGACTAGGGTAATGAGTCTGTTGCTGGGAAGGTAGCTCTATGGGAATCACATGGGCACAGGGACATATAGCCATGAGCTTGGACTTGGGAATGACATTCCCTCACATTTCCTGTACCTCACAGTGATGTCTGATGCTTATTTGCCTGTGAAAGAATGGTACAGGAATAGTGACACTCTTCAGAACCCCCCTCCCACCTGTCCCCCGGATCCCTTTTCAGCTATCCCAGATGCTTGGGATTTTGACTAAGTTCTCCAGGAAATTCTCAGGCACATTCAAATAGAAAAATCACTGTCTTAAGCTTCTCTATTCAGTCTACTCCTGCACTCATTTGTCCTAATTTTCATGGATAAAGTTTAGAAAGCGTCAAACTTTATCTTATATATCCAGTGAGTTTTTATCTTAATTCTGTTAAGACTTGTTTTTTTTCAGGAGAACCATTAACTCTCCTACGAACCCATAACAGTCAGTCCCTGCTATCAGCCAACATACTTCCTCCCATCTTTGCCAAGAAATGGAAGAAATATAACTTACTTGTTCTATTTTACAGTCAATTATTATCCATTAGAAAAATATACCCTCCTATTAAGAAAGACCTTATAAAAATCTATGAACCTGAAAAAAGACAGTAGATTTACCCATGAGTCAAAATCAAATGTTAAACATCTTTGGGGCTAAAGCCTCTCCAGTTTATCTTGCAGGTCTGCTGCCTGTCTTATGGACGTAGAAAAAGAACACTACCGTGTTACTTTTTATCTTTGGGGCTCTTACATGTATGAGCAATAGGCAAAGCTGGAATTGCAGAGCTAGAGGCAGTGATCGGATTTGTTGTCCAGGAGTGATAGACAATTACCAACAAGTGTCTCAGCAGCCCATTTAGTTGTAAAGAAGCCCTCTGCTTTAAGTTTAATTAATGTTTTCCTAAAGTTTATTTCCTTGTGAATTCTTTAATACTTATTCCTAGATTTTTTCCCCTTTAAATCTTATGCCTCCAGCTGACAAGATTGAAAGGAAAATTAGTGGATTATTCCTGAATGAGTTCATTATTCTTTAACAAAGAATCACTTCACAGGCATTGGCAGCTTGGGCAGATCTTGATGTCTATGGGATGGTGGTATTTGGAAAATTGTGTTAAATGTTCTTCCCCAAACACAATTGAGCCAACTGCCAACACTTTAACGACAAAGGCAAATGTAGTGGTGATGAGTTGAGAACTCCCATATCCCCTCCCCAGCACCACTGCTTTTTTTCTGTCACAGATTTACCCAGATGAGGAATTTGTATTTTCTTATTTAGTTCTTCTGATATTTCCTATAGTATTCTTTCTTCAAGCTGCTGTCTTTCATATTAAAAAGTAGCTTCTCTGGGCCGGGGATTTGGCTCAGTGGCACCCTGCCTGCCTTGCAAGCACAAGGTCCTGAGTTCGATCCCTGGTACCAAAACAAAAAAGTAGCTTCTCTAAGATTCAAATACAAAAGGGAATAAAGTTTTCGGCTTATAGTCATTTGATTCCTGGCTATGCTTTATTTCAGCAGGCCTCAATAATTAAACTAAGGGCTAGGTGACACCTGTCCCTTCAAGATGATTGAATTCCCTAGTCAGGTAAAAGAAGATGCCACCCTAACTGATTTAAACTTGTCAGAAATCAGTTTTACTTTTACATTGTATGCTTTGTACAATCCAATTTTAAGACACTTATCTGCACAACTGCAATGCATATCCTTTTCTCAACTGTCTGCCCCCCAACACGCACACACACAGCCTGGTGTAATCCTGAAAAGTGCACAACAAAAACATGAAAGAGGAACCATGAGTGGACAGAGTCTCAGACACCTCAGGTAGGATGAGACGTGCTTGTCAGCCAAGCCCTGGCCACAACAGTATGATCTGGTGGGCTTGTGAACATCGGCTCCTAGTGCTTTGGATGCTCTTCTTCCTACTGACTCAGATTCATAAACAGCCCGAGCAGTACTTGAAAATACATCAACATGAACTCATCCAAATCTCTAGTTGGCTTCTCCTTCTACACAGTGAGACAGAGAGAAAGTGAATGGTCGAAGAAGCTGCATCTTAAATACATGAGGGGTCCATAGCTTATGCTTCCATGGCGCCAAAGAAAGGAACTGAAGAATAAGGCCTGTCATTGGAAGAATAGGACTCAAGACTGCCACAGCTAACTATCATTAGCTATGTGGCTTAGACAAGTTACTTATCCTCCATTAAACTTGTTTTTCACCTATATTATGGCTATAGGTTTTTTCATAAAAGGAAATTCTCACTTGACTCTGTTCAGTATCTTTGCATATTTCATGCAGATGTACCCATTCATTAAACATTAAATAATTCCATAATTGTATAATTGGTATTCTCAGTGCTTTATGTGGAAATATTTGATGGATTAGTACATAAGCTGAGAATATTCTATTTTCCCATTTAACATAATGAGACACAGTTTCCACTAAAAAAATTCGTTACCCTAAACATTTTCCCGAACCAACTAGATTGTAATCTGAAGAATACATGAATACAGTGTCTAGTATAGTGCTGGCCATTAAATCATAGCTAACAATACCAGTGAATTGGTATCAGGGGTTATTTGGTACCAAGAATGGATTTATTATACTTTTGTTTCAAGTGAGCCTTGGCATCAGTTCTGTAAACCAATGTACGGATTTTTCTTAGGGGCTACTTAGGGGACAGAAAGGGGCAGCTGTGGCTTCAGAGGTGAAACTTAACATCCACATTAAAAGTTTGTCTTGTTGTTGTGTCCCCCCTGTCAAGTTCTTGAATTGAGAAGGGATTAGAATTTGTGTGGCTTTGAGAATAATGTCATTGTGCTTTACTTTGGAGATAGATGAAATTCGCTTCTCCCTGAAGCAGATGGTATATGCCAGGTGTTACCCAGTGGGATGCCCAGCAGACATGGAATCAGAACCTCTAAAACATCCATTTCACAAAGAACAGATGAAAAAAACATTGCAGTAAATTGTGCACACAGTGGGTCAAAGCCCTCAGACTCAGGGCAGACATTCCTCAATGCTTAGTGCTGAAGATGTTCTTGTTGGGTGATGAAGCTGCTTCTCACACCCTGGGAGAATCCCCAGGAGCTCCCAACTGTCCTGGAGAGAGGTGCTCTTCTCTTACTAAGATAGCTTCCCATCTTCAATTCCCATGTTTAGTTTTGTCTCTGTGTCTCCAGATGTTAATATCCTTTACGTCAGGGGGACTTCTGAGATTAGAGAAGACATATCTGCCTGTGGTTTGCAAAAGAAAATAGCATAGTATAGGAGAAAAAAGACTTTCCGATTACACTCTTAAGGGCTGTGACTGGGGCTTGTGAATTTAAAGGCAGATCAACAGGAAAAAAGGAATACACATTTTATTTGCTGTTAAAGTTTTATGTGACATTGGGAGCCTCATAGAAAGACGTGAAAGTTTCAAAGTGATTAGACCCAGGAACTTCTGTACCATTTTACAAAGAGCGATACATTGTGGAGATGTGAGAAGAACAGAGGAAAAGGGCTTGGAGCAAAGGGTTGGTAAATTGTGGGGGAAATGACTGGGAAGTATATGAGAGGTGCTAATGGGTGCTATTGGTTGCTTTTGTAGTTTGTTTGTATACATTGACACCCACATCAACTCCTAGTCTCTGGTGATAAGAATGTTCTCCTTCACTTGGTACAGAGAAGTCATCTTTATCAGGAGAAATTTAGGTAAAAAGGGCAAAGGTAGAGAGCCTTCCATATCTACTGTTTCTCATTTGCCTTCAGCTGAAAATTGCCAACGTGCTAGATTGGGGGTATACCCAATGTGTTCTGATTCCTTTCAGTGGAAGCACCTGTAGGATTCGCTTAGCTTAGATGGAAGAGGGGAGCATGTGCTCCTCCATTGAATTTGTATACTTCTTTAATGCAAGGTACTCTGCTGTATGCTGAGGATATTCTGCACAACAGAAAAAAGGTGGCCTTTTCTGGACCACTGTTCTTATAAGGAATAGAAAATAAGCATGCAAAGTAGTTTTACAATACTAGTGCTACGAAGAGAATAAAGTTATGATGTTGTAAAGCTGTGTTGCCCAATTTGGTAGCTATAGGCATATGTGGCTATTGGCACTTAATATGTGGCTCATCAGAGTTGAGGTTGCCAGAACTATAAAACATGCACCAGCTTCTGAAGATTCAGTCCAACGAAAAGAAAATAGAATACCTAAATAATTTTAAATTGTTTGATTATCTGCTAAAATGATATCTTAGATACGTACATTTCTTTACCGTATTATTAAAATTAATTTCACCTGTTTCATTTTACTTTTTAAAATGTGGCTGGTAGAAAATTGGGAAGATGTAGATGGCTTGTGTTGAGTTTCCTGTGGACAGCATTGTCCTGGAGGACAGAGTTGAGAGAACTTGGGAAGGCTTCCCTAAGGAGGAAGCATTTTAAACAAAGATTTGAGAAATAAGGTGAATAAGCAGGCCTGAAAGTCAGTGAGAAAGAGCTGGGTGTACCTGACAGAAAATCACAGGGGCAGGAGTTTAATGAAATGGTAGCAAAAGGGGCAAGATAAAGTAGGGGAGAGGTAGGGTATATATACAGCAGCCAGGCTGAGGAGAAAATGGCAGGGAATTTGGATTTTACCCTAAGTATAACGGGGCATCGTTTTAAAAGCCAAAGCTTTGGCTAGTCTTATGTAAAGTAGCATATGAACAACTTGTGGCAGCCAGAGTTGGGGACAGAAGTATCGCTCTTAGAAAAAAGTTCCCTGAGGAGGGCATCACTGTTCCATCAATCCAGCAGGGCACGGTGGCACCTGCCTGTAATCCCAGCCACCTGAGAGGCTGAGACAGAAAAATTCTGAGTTCCAGCCCAGCCTGGGCACTTTGGCAACTTAGAGACCTTGTATCAAAATGAAAAATAAAAAGAGCTGGGGCTGCAGCTCACTATGAAAGCTCCAGGTTCAATCCCCAGTAGTAAAACAACAAAAAAAGTTTAACCATGACTCATTTATCTAAATTTCGCTATTGGACCTGACTACTTTTCTCATCTATTCCTGGAGTAATCAGCTGGGACCTTGTGGTTGTTAGTGTTCTGGTGCAGTTTATTAAAATTTGCCTCTTTTTCTTTCATTTTTCTCCCCATAGTGTTTTGAACCAGATGCACTGTTACTCATAGCCGGGGGAGATTTGGAAGAGCAGCTTCCAGAGGAGGTAGTCCAGAGAGTTTCTCTTCTCCTCCTCTATTACATTATTCATCAGGAAGAGATCTGTTCTTCAAAGCTCAACATGAGTAATAAAGACTATAAATTTTACCTGCACAGCCTACTGAGCCTCAGGCAGGATGAGGACTCCTACTTCCTTTCACAGAATGAGACAGAAGACATCTTGGCTCTCACCAGGCGGCACTTTGACACGTCCAGGAGCGAGGTAAGAAGGGCACAGTCGATAACTGGTTCTGCTACTAAGCCAGAGGGTCAGGCCCTTATTTTCCATCACTTATTTATTCCTAAGACATTTAAGCACTTCCAAGATAGATGAGTATTCATGGTTTTAAACTATGACATGGTAAGTGACATAATTTAAAATTCCGAGTCCAAAAGTGGAAATGTAATGACTAACTGGAAGATGAGTTTTAGCCAGAAGCTGGGTGGGTGGGTAGGCAGGCCAGCCAGGGGACAGGGCAGCTCTCTCCTCCTGAGTCCCCCTGAGCACCCAAGACAGCATGACTCAAAGCTTTTTGATTGGTGTCCAAGGACTGAGCCATAGAGTGGAGGTCTGTGTGTCTATTTGCCTTGCCTTCCTACAGAGAGATGAGTTTATCCTTAGATATTTCACTGAAGAGGCAGCTTGCAAAAAAGCATTATTCGTTATAGCTCGTTCAAGACAATATGCTTTTTGTGGCTTTCGATTTGTGCTGCGTATGTACTTGACCCATTCAAACGCTTCTCGTCTCTCCCAGTTCCCAGTCTTAGGAAATGGGCACCTGGTCTTGTGTTGCCGCCATTACCATTCTAGAAAAAGCTCACCTTTTAGTAATGCTATTTATTTATTTAATGTCAGGGCTTTAACCCTTGTTTTCATGCATATAAGCATCAGTGATGCTTTGGCTTTCTGAGTTCCAATAGGAAGTTTTAGCAAATAAAGTTCTCTGAACATAAAGTTTATTTAAGCCATATTTTCAAGAAGAATTGAGCTACCTCACATTTTTGAGAAGTATGGTTACAACTGGCTTTTTTCTCTCTTGAGTTATTCATTGATATATACAGACAAACTTGGTTCTTGGTCTTGATTGTAGCTTCTATGAGCCCACAAATATCTATCTGTATAGTCTTGCTTTGGTTTAATGATCAGCAAACATATCCTCCAATTCACTGTAAGTATATTTAATCTCTTATTACTGGCAGACCAAATGTTTACCCAGTGCTTTAAGAACATCACTACAGTAGCTCTAATTCCACAAATATCAAACCATATTGGACCATAGCTTTGCTCCTATTTTTGTTTTAGGAAAAGTTCCCTTGACAGAATTTAGTTTGTTTTGTCTTCATGGCAACAGCTACGAAACACAAGACTGGTTTGAATGGGCCACTTAAATTTCATTCATCTTACCCATGACCCCTTTGATGCGGATTAAATGGAAATGGGGACCCAGCACTTAAAAGCAGATGGTGTATATACGTCAGGTTTCTGGTTATCCCACATGTACTGCCAATATCCACTTCTGAGTGCTTGTGAGCTCAAACATTCATAGGATAGAATAAAATCACGCTATGGGGAGAACTAATTCATTCCTCTATTTACTCAATAGGAATTGACCCCCTGATTTCATAAGCCCTTTGGAGGCCTGCCCCAATGACCTAGAGACACAACTGTCCCTAGTTCCTGTCCACCAGGACTCCCTAGGAAATCGGTCAGTCCAGACTTTCTATGGAAGGTCACGGCAGGGGTTGAACACCAGGCCCATCACTTGCTTTTCCAAGTCTTGTTGTGCCCAGGATTCAGCTTCCACGGGTCAAACCACTAACAGGCATTTCAGATGCTTACTCCATAGTACCCATCCCCTCGGGGTCCAGCCGATGAACATCATTCTACTCCTCTGTTCTCTTGTGTATGCAGCACGCTCAGTTTCATCTTCCTGTCTCGGAGTGTTCGCATCTCTTCAGTTCATTCTACCCATTGCGTTTCCATGGTTCTGACACAGGGATTTGACCACCGCTCCCACTAGGTGTTCCTCTTGCGGGCAAGATGAGTGTTCTTGATCACATCCTAAGGACTTCAAGAGTGCAAATGGTGCTTGGAATTCTCCTTTATCCTCACTGGCACCTTGTGATTGGTCCTCTTTCACAACCTCCATGAAAAACACACTGCTGTGAGATTCATGCTGTATTATCTTTCAGCTTGTGATTTTTACTCATGCAAGTTCTATTTCTCCACATTTATAAAACTTTTGGTAACTAACCCCCAGTTTCCACTGTGCTTCCCCCAACAGCTATGAATATGCTCCTATCTGCCTCACGAATTACAGAATTAAAATCCAATGGGCATTTAAGAAAGTTAGCAGTGGATGTTTTTAATATAGAATTAGTGATGTTTGTTTTGGAGAATTGGTACATGCACGTAACATACCTTGATCATTTTCAACTTTGCCCCTCATGCTTTTCCTCGCCCCTCCCCTAATTCCCTTCCCAATAGGTACTCTTTATTCTTTGTCTTATGTTGCAAGCATTGAACATTGACACAATGAGTTTCCCTTGATTCCTCTTCTGATGAACCCAGTCTCCATTTTATAGGTAGTGGCCTTAACATGACGAGTAGGCATTCAATAAATGTTTAAATAAATGAATGGGAATACTTGTAGGGTATAATGCAAAGTTCTAGCCGCTCAGATGCTCATAATGAATGGAGGAAATTGATATTCACAGATGAAAAAGGCTCTGTGTCATACGTATGTCCTATAAAAGTTGGAGAATACAGGCACTGTGCTAGCTTTGCCTTACGCTGACCTTGAGATTAAAGACCAGCGTGGAAGTGGAGTAGGGAATGTGTATTTGAAAATCGTTAGCCTGCAGGCTGTCCTGAGAGAGTTCACCACCTGAAAGATGTAAACAATAAGAACAGAATATCCTCTTGGAAAAATGCACAGAGGATAATGAAAAAGCTTGGATAACTGAGGAGGAGTTGTGTGGGGAGTTAGAAAACGCAGTGGCATGGCAGGCAAAACAAGTATTTTCCAAATACGGTTGCATCTGAGACAGTAGATGGCAACAGTCCTCCCACAAACAATTCAACCTTCTTTGAAGTGAACTAGTCTGTCTTTGGGGAAGATCCGAGAGATGTCTTATGTGAAATCACTTTGGAAGTTAACATTTTTCTCTTGACTTTGTGTCTGTCTTCAGTGTATGGAAACTAAAATGCTACAGAGGAAATCCGGAATCCTGAGCACTGATGGTGCTGATGAAAACACCCTTCCTCGGCTGGCAGCGACCATCATTGCTCTGTCCCTCCAAGGAGTTTGTTTGGGACAAAGAAACTCGCCTTCCTCAGACTATTTTACTGAATATATTTTCCGTTTGTTGAACAGTACAAATGCTCTCCACCTATCGGGTAAGGATATTTTTTATGAATATAACTTCCAGGTCGCATCTACCAAATAAATTGTGCCCCAAACAAGGGATGAAGTGTTTTGATGAAGGAATTTGCTGAGGTATGTTTTTTACATCATTTTACCTCAGCTTGTAGTGAGAGAGCTCAGATGGCCTCTCAAGGATTACATGCTATGACATCGAGGTATTGATGAGGCATAAACAGGAACCTGTCCCACTTCTTCAGTGATGGAAATTGTGGATGTAGAACCAGTGAGACATGAGCACTAACTCAGCATCACAACACTGTATAGAATGAGGACACAGTATTCAAAATGGTTCAAGAGGGTCAGTACGTTTGTTTGTGAGTCATTTAATTTAAAATAAAAGTAACGTGAATTATTTACCATTCTGATTCCTCTTTTCTAGAGCTCTGAGATGAAATAAGAAGCCAGTAAGGGAACCTGAATGTTTATTTTGCACATTTCTTTGAACTTGATGAGACAAAAAATTTGAGGATTACATGCTTTGTTTTTCAAATCTGCATTAAAATGGCCAGAGATAGATTTTCAAAAAGCATCTCCAATATCACACCTTAAAAAAATCAGTGATTCCTGAATACTATAAAAATGTCTGATGTTTACATTCTCCTAATTTAAATTTTTTTTATTATTTATCGAATCAGAATCCAAATAAGATTTATAAAATGCAACTTGTGGTAGATTTGTTAAGTTTCTTTTATAAGTATCAGGCTTTTTCATCTTGTCTATTTTGTTGCATCCATAATCATTTTAACATGCATTTCTTTCTTTTTTTTTTTTTTTACTTAAATTCTTTTATCAGTATATTTTAGGCATACAATACATTACATTCACCATTGGGAACTTGTACCTTTACATGATGTATCTTGGTTCTTATTTTTTCCCCATTCCCTGTGCTCCCTTCCCTATTTACAAAGACTTTGTTTCCATTTTTTCCTTCTCTCATATTAATTCCATTCTCTTCTTTTCTTTCCCCTTCCCCTCCCATTGCCCCTACCCCTTTGGACATTTTCTTCCTATTTCAAATTATCAATTATTCATTTTAATCATTTTAATCCTTATTTACACTTTCAGTTTCTTACACTAGAGAAACTATTCGGTATTTATACATGTGTGTTCTATTTATTTCACTTAAGAGTATGGCTTCTATATGCATCCATTTAGGTATAAATGTCTCTAGTTTCTTGTTTTTTATGGCTGAGTAGTACTCCATTTTATAAAAAAATCCACATCTTCTTTATCCAGTTTCCAGTTGATGGGCACTTGAGCTGTTTTAGCTATTACAAACTGTGCCACTATAAACATGGGTGCAAATATATCACTGTGGTATGATTCTTTTAATTCTTTGGGGAAGATACCCAGCAGGGGAGTAGCTGGGTCAAATGGGACCTCTAGTCCTAGTTCTTTGAGGTATCTCCATAGTGATTTCCACAGTGGTTGCACCAGTCTGCACTCCCACCAACAATGGAGAAGGGTTCCTTTCTCCCCACACCCCCACCAGCATTTGATATTGGTTGATTTCTTGGTAGCAGCCATTCTTTGTGGGGTGAGGTGGAATCTCAGTGTTGTTTTCATCTGCATCTCTCAAATGACAAGTGATGTTGAATATTTTTTCATATGTTTATTTGTTGCTTTTACTTCTTTATCTGAGAAATGTCTGTTCATTTCAGATGCTCATTGTCTGAGGTACAGCTGCTAAAATTTTTTTCTCACATTGTAGGTTTTCTCTTAGCTGTTGGTGGTTTCTCTTGCAGTGCAGAAGCTTTTGAATAAAATGAGATCCCAGTTGTTGATTCTTTGTGCTAGTTCCTGTGCTACTGAGGTTTTGTTCATAGTCTTTTCCTATCTCAATGTCTTCAAGAGTTCTATCTAACTTATCTTCCAGCAAGTTTAGTGTTTCTGTCTTAATATTTAGATCTTTAATCCACTTTGATCTAAGTTTAGTGCACGATGATAGGTATGGGTCTAGTTTTAATCTTTGGCAGGTTGAAATCCAGTTTTTCCAACACCATTTATTAAATAGGCTATCTTTCCTCCAATGAGGGCAGTTGGCTCTTTTGTCAAAGACGAGGTAGCTGAATATGTCTGGAGTTGTTTCTGTATCTTCTAATCGATTCCACTGTTCCTCAGGTCTGTTTCTTTACCAGTACCATGCTGTTTTTATCACCATAGCTTTGTAGTATAGTTTCAAGTTGGTTATTGTGATACCCCCTGCCATGTTTCTGTTGCTTAGAATTGGTTTTCCTATTCTAGGTCTCTTATGGTTCCAAATGAATTTTTGGATTGTTTTCTCTAGTTCTGTGAAATATATTGTTGGAATTTCAATCAGCACTGAATTAAATCTATATAGCAGTTTTGGAAGTATGGCCATTTTCACTATATTGGTTCTTCGTACCCGGGAACAAGGGATGTCTTTCCATTTTCTTATATCCTCTTCTTAAATCCATTTTCTTACATCCTTCTTTTTAGAGTACTGTACTTTTCAGTGTAGAGGTCTTTTGTTTCCTTTGTCAGATTGATTACTCAATATTTCATTTTTTGGATATTATTGTAAAAGGAATTGTTTCCCTAATTTCTCTCTCAGTGAGTCTGTTATTTGTGTATAAGAAGGCTATTGTTTTTTGAGTGTTGACCTTCTATCCAGCTACTCTACTGAATCTGTCAATTAAGTCTAGAAGTCTTCTGGCGGAGTTTTTTTGGGTCTTCTATGTAAAGTATCATATCGTCAGCAAATAATGACAGTTTAACTTCTTCCTTTCCTATCTTCATTCCTTCTATTTCTTTCTCTTTTCTAATTGCTGTGGCTAATGTTTCCAGAATTATATTGAGCAGGAGTGGTGATTAACATGCATGTCTGTGTGCTGCATTTCATGTATATTGGTTATTACATGTGGAGGCCTGATTATTTTTCAGCCTATTTTTTGGGAGTGTTATTTTATCATTAGTAACTTCCACTAGAGAAATGTAACATTTAGATCTCTCTCTGTCTCTGTCTTGCTCACTCTCTCTCCCTCCCTCCTTTTGAGAAGTTATAAGATATTGATGATTGTTGCCTAGATTGATTAATAATTTAGGGATTATAAATGATAATCTTCTATTTCTCTCATTCTTGCTTTATTTATTGGTGTAATAATTCTACAATGGAAGAACTTTTATCATTATTTCACTTTATTGTGGTTCTTAAAAGAAAATAACTATAAATTCTTAATACTTTACCAGTTTTCAAATTAATAACAAGTTTCCTTGCATCTTTCAAAGGAAAGCAGTGGTATCTTTAAAAATATTATGATTTCATATCTCTTAATTCATTATCATTATTGTGTCAGTGCTTAGATTGATCTGCTATTTGATCAGTAGGATCTTGTTCAAGTTGACTCTAAGTCCTTCTGACAAAATCTTTAAAATATTTTATATCTCTCTTACTTTCCAGTATAACATGATAGTCCAAGTTTACCCTGTACATTTCTGCCTAGACCTGGAATGAATTATTTCTTCAAATATATTTTATTTTTATACAATTAAATTAATCAAATTTTACCCTGGTTTCTTTTGAATTTTGAGTTTCAGTTAAGAAAACTTCCCATGGTCTCAGGTAATGGAAAAAGCCCACCATGTTTTCTTCTGGTGCTTGTATCTTTACATTACTTTTTTTTTTTTGGTACTGGAAATTGAACTCAGGACCTTGTGCTTGTGAGGCAGGCTCAGTGCCACTTAGGTAAATTCCCAGCCCTTTACATTTCTGGTCTACTTAGAATTATTTGTGATATGTCTTGTGAGGAATAAATCTAGTTTATTTTTCTGTATGACTATCCAATTTTCCTTATATCTCTTATTTAAAATGCATTATTTCCTCCACCGGCTTGAGATACTACATTCAAGTAATACAGTACATTTCTAGATGTTGTGGAGTCTCTTCATAAGCTTTCTATTCTGCTCTGTTTCACAGCTTGTTTATTCATGCACCAATGCCATGCTGTTTTACTTACAATATCTTTGTAGTATCGAAATGTCTGGTTGAACTAGGCTTCCAGATGTGTCTACTTTTCAAGATTTTCTTGACTTACTTTTCCTAATTGACCATCATCAAACTGTCACACTGCAGGAAAAACCTTGTGGTAATTTTATTGTGATTACCCAAAATAAAAATTAAGAAAAGAAATTGTAAAATTACATAGAAACATTATATATTATGTGTTGCAATTTTATATTCAAGAACATAGCATCTTTCCATTTGACCATGTCTACATGTGTTTATGTTTGTTTTGTGGGGTTGGGGATTGAACCCAGGGCCTTGTGTATATTAAGCAAACACTCTAACTCTACGATGCATCCTCAATCCTTTAAAAAATGTTTTTTGAATTTTGAGACAGATTCTTTCTAAGTTTCCCAAGCTGGTCTTTAATTTGAGGTCCTTCTGTCTCAGGCTGCTGAGTAACTGGGATTTCAGGCCAGCACCACCATGTCTGTTTAAAGGTGTATTTTTGTGTAGTGTTTTATTATTTTCCATACATAGTAAAACTTTGTTATGTTTAGATATAAGCATCTACCTTTCTTTTTGCTTGTCTTAAAAGAGGTCCTATTTCATTTCCATTCTAATTGGTCACTATAAATATAAAGTCTATTGATTTTTGTAATTATTTTTATACTCTGCTTCATGATTACATTACTTGATTCTTTATATTGATTTTCTTAGATGTTTTGGGTACATAATTATATTATTTCTAGGTCAATGTACTGTGGCCTTTTTCTTTATAATTTTTGCATTTTTATTTGCTTTCTCATCTACTTGCATTGATTAATAATATAATGTTAACTAGTGACAGGTGTGATCAACTTTCTTGATACATTTCTGATTTTGTAGAATTTTTTCATTAAGTTTAGAGAATAAACAAGCAAAATATATTTGTAGTCTTTTACATTAACCCATGTTCTTATATTTCCACTGTTCTTCACTTCTTCCAGTAGACTTGAGCAAAGTGCAAAATTTTCCCAGATTTGGGTCTGTTTTTCAGTCTAAAGAACTTCATGTTGTAATTTTTGTAAAGCAGGTCTGCTAGCAATGAATTCCCTCTTTTCCATGTTTTCTCCACCTTCATTTCAAAGGATTCTTTTGCTGAGTATAAAATTCCTGATTGACAATTTTTTTTACTTCTTTTTAGCTCTTTGAATATGCCATCCCACTATCTTCTGGTTTGTGATGTTCAGATAGGAAACCAACCATTAACTGTAGTGATGGTCCCCTGTATGTGATGAGCCATTTCCTTTTGTTGTTTTCAAATTTCTTCTTTGTCTTTAACTTTCAAAAATTTCACAATAATGTACCTTCTATATATGAATCTTTTTTGCATTTCTCCTACTAGTGTGATGAGCTTAAACATGTTGATAAAGATATTATACTGGAAATGGATAGTTTTTAGCCATTATAGTAGTCAATTATTTTTTCTGACTTTTGCTCTGCCTCTTCTCTCTGACTGCCAATCTATGTATGTCAATATGTTTGTGGTTATTCCACAGGTCTCTGAGATGATATTGCCATCATCATCTTCCTGTGGTCCTAGTTCTTTTTTTTTATTCTTCAGGATGGAATATTTCTGTTAATCTATCTTTGTGTTCAGTGATTTTACTCTGCCTAATCAAACATGTTGTTGAATGCCTCTAGTGATTTTTTCATCTCAGTTAGTATATTCTTAAACTCCAGAATATCCATTGGGAATTATATGTAATTTTTATATTTTTATTTAAAGTTGCTAGTCATTGAGTTATATGGTTATACTTTCCTTTAATTCATTAAATATTTTTTTTTAGTCTTTTAAACATATTTATACTAGCTGCTTTGAAGACTTTGTCTATTAAATCCAACATCTGGGAATATTCAGAGATGTATTTTTTGACTTTTCTTTTCTTTGAACATGGGTTACATTTTTTCAGTTTTCTGTGAGTCATATAATTTTTTGTTGAACACTGATCACTTAAAATAAAACTATCAGTAATGATAGTGTCTGGAAAAATTCCAAAGACATTTTATTCACAGGTAGGAAAGTGGATAAACCCACAGAAATTCACTGTTACATTTAATTCTTCTCTATGTTAATCAGTTTTCAAAAGTCTAGAGTTACATTGCAATTTATAAATTTACAGCTGTTGCAGCATCATAGTAGCATTAGAAAACAAGATCTAGTTTGTCTCTATGGTCTTAGTTTACTTTCATTTACTTTCTCTTTTCTTCATATAAACTCTATAGGAAAACAATTTGTTTGATTTACTTATATTAAGGTAATAGTCAACCAATTAAATACATAGAGTGCCTCAAGGGAATTAATTTCTTAAAATTAGGATAGTTTCTTCTTTAATTTATATTTTTATGGAATAGGAACATTCTTGGTTCAATGGAAAGCATTCACATTGATAGATTGCCCATTTTCTTATCTCTAGGGTATGAAAATGGTGGAAATACTTGTTTTTGGTACTGGGGATCGAACTTGGGACCTTGCACTTGCAGGGCAGGTGGCAGAACCACTGAGCTAAATCCCCAGCCTCTGGTGGGAATACTTTTGTGAAAACTGGTTCAGCCCCAAAGTTTAGCTAGGATCTTGTGAGGGAGTCAATATATATGTGAAATATAAATGATCTTTAGCTTTATTCAGGATGAAACTTTGTCTTTTCATTATCTTGTAAAATATCTGTTGTAGCCATGTAAAATTATGACTATTCTGAACTTATCTATTCTATGTGACACCAGATTTTATATGAAATTTCTAGAACTGGAACAACTCTTCAATATTCTTTGGACCAAAAGTACCTGTAACAAAAAAGATGTAATCCATCAACCTCAAAGGAAACAAGGCCACATAAAGGTCCATGATTGGGGCTACCCTAACCTTTCTATATCTATGGACAAAGAGTCAGATGATGGTCCAAATTCCTGGGATCAGGTATTTCCATTATTCATCTCAATTTGTTATTATTGAAGGAAGACCAGCTATGAAAGTTCTACCAGAGTTGTAGAAAATGTGAGAAAATATCTTATTTCTGTGATAGTTCATGGCTTTCTTTTTTCCTAAGTGGGTTTCTATAGACATAAAAACAAGGCCAAGGTATTTAGAAGAATGATATATGTTGCTCTGCCCTCCCTTGGGTCCATATTAAATGCACAAATAAATTCAGAAAACATTATGAGCATTTAGTATGTATCAGCCCCCAACCTGGGCTTGAGGAATATAGCATTGAGCACAACTAGGTCCAGCACTTAGGGAGTTTACAAGGCAATGGAAGATATAGATGTTACATAAATAATCACCATGATGGATGAGTACTTTAAATTTAGGTTAGGTCAGGAAGTGATTACTCTGGGATGTGAGAAATATTTGCTTAGAAGAAGGCACTGAGAAGGTTTCCAAAGAAAAGTAATCTGTAAGCATATAAACATAATCAGATTTTTGTTTCCTGAAATTATGTCCCAAAGTGCATTCTCTGATCTACCTCTTTGCTTTTTGATAAAAAACTGCTCTGGTCTGATCAGTTGGGGAAAAACTAGACATGGACACTTCCCTGTAGCATCCTAAGGAGCCTGGAAAGGTCTATTAGTAAACAAATTTTTAAAGTCTTAGTGAAACCCGTGTTTCTCAAACTTTGATCATAGGATTCTTCCCTCCCTTATTCATTTAAAATCTTCAAAAATTAATGTTCTATGATAATGGCTTACATTTATTAACTACTTGCTACATGTTTGGCACTGTATTATTTACCCTATAAATTATCTTAATTCTTAAAACAACTATAGCAGGTAAGTTTATAATATTACATCATACAGGTTAGATATAGAGCTAATAAAGTCTTATACAACATATTGGAATCTATGGGACACAATGAAAGCAGTCTTAC